AGGAACACCTAAATATATAAAGCAATTATTAACAGACATAAAAGGAGAAATAGACGGTAACACGATAATAGTAGGGGACTTTAATAACACTCCACTTACACCAATGGATAGATCATCCAAACGGAAGATCAGTAAGGAAACACTGGCCTTAAAGGACACATTTAACCAGATGGACTTAGTGGATATATATAGAATATTCCATCCAAAAACCACAGAATATACTTTCTTTTCAAATGCTCATGGGGCATTCTCCAGGACTGATCACATATTAGGCCACAAAACAAGTCTCAATAAATTTAAGAAGATCGAAATAATACCATGCCTCTTTTCTGACCACAAAGTTATGTAAAGGTATGAAACTAGAAATCAACTACAGGAAGAAAACCGGAAAAGTTACAAAAATGTGGAGATTAAACAAAATGCTACTGACCAACGATTGGGTCAATGAAGAAATCAAAGGAGAAATCAAAAAGTTTCTGGATACAAGTGAAAATGAAAATACAACATACCGAAATCTGTGGGACACAGCAAAAGCGGTTCTAAGAGAAAAGTTTATAGAAATTCAGGCCTACCGCAACAAGGAAGAAAAATCCCAAATAAGCAATCTAACAGTGCATCTAAAGGTACTGGGAAAAGATGAACAAACAAATCCCAAAATCAGCAGAAAGAAGGAAATAATAAAAATCAGAGCAGAAATAAATGAAATAGAGACTAAAAGAACAATAGAAAAAATTAATGAAACCAAGAGCTGGTTCTTTGAAAAGATAAAATTGACAAACCCTTAGCTAGACGCATCAAGAAAAAAAGAGAGAAGGCTCAAATAAATAAAATCAGAAATGAAAGAGGGGAAATTACAATGAACACCTCAGAAATACAAAAGATAAGAAGAGAATACTATGAAAAGCTATATGCTGGGGCCGGCCCGGGGGCCGAGTGGTTAAGTTTGTGCGCTCCGCTGCGGGCGGACCAGTGTTTCGTCAGTTCGAATCCTGGGCGCAGACATGGCACTACTCGTTGAGCCACGTTGAGGCGGCATCCCACATGCCACAACTAGAAGGACCCACAACTAAGAATATACAACTATGTACCGGCGGGCTTTGGGGAGAAAAAGGAAAAAAATAAATCTTTAAAAAAATAAAAAGCTGTATGCCAACAAATTGGATAATATAGAAGAAATGGATAAATTCTTAGAAACATACAACCTTCCAAAACTAGACCAAGGAGAAGTAGAGAATTCAAATAGACCAATCACCAGTATGGAGATAGAAACAGCAAGAAAAACCTCCCAAAAAATAAAAGTCCAGGACCAGAAGACTGAATACCTATCCTTCCCAAACTCTTCCAAAAAATTGAAGAGGAGGGGAGGCTTCCTAACTTGTTGTATGAAGCCAACATTATTCTGATACCAAAACCAGACAAGGACAACACAAAAAAAGAAAATTACAGGCCAATAGCATTGATGAATATTGATGCAAAAATCCTCAACAAAATACTAGAAAATCGAATGCAATAATACATTAAAAACATCATACATCATGATCAAGTGGGTTTCATTCCAAGGATGCAGGGATGGTTCCACATCCGCAAGTCTATCAACATGATACACCACATTAACAAAATGAAGAATAAAAATCACATGATCATCTCAATAGATGCAGAGAAAGCATTTGACAACATACGGCATCCATTTATGATAAAAACTCTAAGTAAAATGGGTATTGAAGGAAAATATCTCAACATAATAAAGGCCATATATGACAAACCCACAGGAAATATCATTCTCAATGGAGAAAAACTGAAAGATATCCCTCTAAGACCAGGAACCAGAGAAGGATGCCCACTGTCACCATTCTTACTTAACATAGTATTGGAAGTCCTACCCAGAGCAATCAGGCAAGAAAAAGAAATAAAAAGGATCCATATTGGAAAAGAAGAAGTGAAACTGTCACTCTTTGTAGATGACATGATTTTATATATAGAAAACCCTAAAGAATCCACTAAAACACTTGTAGAAACAATAAATGAATACAATCAAGTCGCAGGATACAAAATCAACATACAAAAATCGGTTGTGTTTCTATACACTAACAAAAAAGTAGCAGAAAGAGAAATTAAGAATACAATCCCATTTACAATTGCAACAAAAAGAATAAAATACCTAGGAATAAACTTAACCAACGAGGTGAAATATCTGTACACCAAAAACTATAAAACATTGTTGAAAGAAAATGAGAAGACACAAAGAAATGGAAAGATATTCCGTGCTCTTGGATTGGAAGAATTAACACTGTTAAAATGTCCATACTTCCTAAAGCAATCTATAGATTCAATGCAATCCCTATCAAAGTTCCAACAATGTTTTTCACAGAAATAGACCAAAGAATCCTAAAATTTATATAGAACAACAAAAGACCCTGAAGAACCAAAGGATTCCTGAAAAAATAGAACAAAGCTGGAGGTATCACACTCCCTGATTTCAAAATATACTACAAAGCCATAGTAACCAAAACAGCATGGTACTGGTACAAAATCAGACACAGACATCAATGGAAGAGAATTGAGAGCCCAGAAATAAACCCACACATTTATGGACAGCTAATATTCGGCAAGAGAGCCAAGAGCATACGATGGAGAAAGGAAAGACTCTTCAATAAATGGTGTTGAGAAAACTGGACAGCCACATGCAAAAGAACAAAAGTAGACCATTACCTTGCACCATGCACAAAAATCAACTCAAAATGGATTAAAGACTTGAATGTAAGACCTGAAACCATGAAACTTCTAGAAGAAAACATAGGCAGTACGCTCTGACATCCGTCTGAACAGCATATTTTCGAGTGCCATGTCTGACTGGGCAAGGGAAACAAAAGAAAAAAATGAACAAATGGGACTACGTCAAACTAAAAAGCTTCTGCACAGCAAAGGAAACCATCAACAAAATGAAAAGACAACCTAACAATTGGGGCAAGATATTTGCAAACCATATATCAGGTAAGGGTTAATATCCAAAATATATAAAGAACTCATACATTTCAACAACAAAAAAACCAGCAACCAATTAAAAAATTGGCAAAAGATCTGAACAGAGATTTCTCCAAAGAAGATATATGGATGGCCAACAGGCATATGAAAAGATGCTCAACATCATTAGCTACCAGGGAAATGCAAAGCAACACTACAATGAGGTATCACCTCACTCCAGTCAGAATGGCAATAATTAACAAGACAGGAGACAACAAGTATTGGAGTGGATGTGGAGAGAAGGGAACCCTCGTACATGGCTGGTGGGAGTGCAAACAGGTGCAGTCACTATGGAAAGCAGTCTGGAGTATCCTCAGAAATTAAGAATAGACCTACCATGTGATCCAGCTATCCCATTGCTGGGTATTTATCCAAAGAACTTGAAAACACAAATGCATAAAGATACATGCACCCCTATGTTCATTTGCAGCATTATTCACAATAGCCAAGACTTGGAAGCAACCTACGTGCCCAACAAGGGATGAATGGATAAAGAAGATGTGGTATATATACACAATGGAATACTACTCAGCCATAAAAAATGATGAGATCCGGCCATTTGTGACAACATGGATGGACCTTGAGGGTATTATTCGAAGTGAAATAAGTCAGAGGGAGAGACGATAAAAACAACAGCAAACAAACACATAGCATTGGAGACTGGATTGGTGGTTACCATAGGGGAAGGGGTGAGGGGGAGGGAAAAGAGGTGATCAGGCTCACATGTGAGGTGATGGACTGTAATTAATTTTTTGGCGGTGAACATGATGTAATCTACAAAAGAAAGGCAGTTAGCTACAAAAGCACAGGAGACTAAGAATATACTGATTGTTCTTTTCTTGAGAAGGCAGAGTTAGCTGTCCTTAGCTGGCTTCATCACCATGAATATTTGTCACTAGTCACTGAGATGCTCATGTCAGTTTACTAAAGGCTGCCCACAAAGTTCACTGAAGTATTGAAATAAAGGCTCCTAAATGACTTTTTTTTCCAGCAATTTCTTGTTTCAAATTTAAAAATAAAGGGGAGCGGGTAAAAGTAAACTGGAAACTTCAGGCTTTCTAGCAAAGGTTGAAGAAAATTGGAATACAACAAAAATTATTTACTGGGGTTTTTTTTTTGTGAATACTCACTATGTTCTATATACCACATGGGTACATGATACTCCTTTACGTTATTTATATTTCATATATGAAACCCTACCATAGCATAATAAGTGAGATACAAAAAGCTTAATTGCATAGAATATAAGGTCACAATATTACAAGGTTAATAGAAATTCTCAGGTGAGGCTTTACTATGGAAATTTTGGAAGTTTGGAGGAGTCATTTATTGGGGGTTGGCACAAACTGGTGGCAGTTGTATATTCTGTCTTAAATATCAGTGGGAATGTTTCTGAATCCTGTGCTTGTCAGGGCAGTGGTAGTGTTTTAAAAAATATTTTGGTTAGTCAGTGCATGTTTTGTGGTCAAAGTCCAAGGGTAAAGCAGGGGGATAGCAGTAGGGATGGAAAGCACACCCTTTACCTCCCAACTTCCTGAACCAGGGTTGCCTGTTGCTTCCTAACATACCCTTGCTGTCTTCTCCCTAGGAAGTCAAAGTGTGTTGTCTTCAAATCAGTTGATAGCCTAATTTTCCATATCATGGAGTTAAACATGCAAAACAGCAAGTGATATCCCCAATGGACAGGTGGAGAGACTGAGCTTCAGCATGAATAGACAATAGAAAGCAATTTTCTCAATCCCAAGCATGCATAAGAGGTGTCAATATTCAATATCTGGACTGTCTTTTGGCAAAACTCATGATTCATGGCTCATAATCTTTGCTGAGTTTAGAAGATAAACTATGGGAGGATCGGAAGAGAAGTTTCACCCCTCCAGGACTGTGTTCTTTCAAGTGTTTCTAGATACATTTTTAAGTGAATATCAAATGTTAAAAATTCGTTTAAATTCAAAGCGACAAATGAGAAGTTTGTTGATGCTAATATATTTGTAAAGTCAAAATTACAGAAAGAAGCACTCCATCTCAAACATTATAGGAAACTACGTGTCAGAAAAGAAAGTATTTTGGAAAAATAAATGGATAATTCTTTAAATCCAGAATTATTTTTTATCTTCTTTCATCATAGAAATAATTTCATTGTAAACTTCTTGAGGGGCATTCATTGCCCAGATAAAGTCCAAGTGATTGTAAGGAGGAATCTTCTTGTGGTAGGTGAGATTAGAGAGTTTTGGAAGCAAGAGGTCAACGTCTTGAGGGTCAGCCAACCAGTCATTGCCACCGCTCCACACTGCAATTGGCACTCTCATGTCTGTCAAATTATAGTTGGGAGGTGAAGGCTAAAACACAAGAGAGAGAGAACCTCAGTTTTCATAGGTAACTGTGCTTTAAGCCTCAATACTTATCCCTTGGGTAGACTATTTTACCTTAACTGACCCAGATTATTTTATTGAGATATAGTTGACATATAACATTATGTTAGTGTCAGGTATACAACATAATGATTTGATATACATTTATATTGAAAAATGATCACCACAATAAGCCTAGTTAGCATCCATCACCATACACAGTTACAAATTTCTTTTCTTGTGATGAGAACTTTTAAGATTTACTCTCTTGGTAACTTTCAAATATATAATACAGTACCATTAACTATAGTAACTATGTTGTACATTACATCCCCAGGACTTATTTACTTTGTAACTGGAAGTTTGTACCTTTTGATCATCTTCACCCATTTTGCCACACTCCACCCCCTGCCTCTGGCAACCACCAATATGTTCTCTGTATCAATGACCTTGGTTCTTTGGTTTTTTTATTTTTAGATTCCACATATAAGTGAGATCATACGGTATTTGTCTTTCTCCATCTGACTTATTTCACTTAGAATAATGCCGTCAAGGACCATCCATGTTGTCACAAATGGCATGACCTCGTTTCATAAGTAAATCCTAAACAATGATTGTTCAGAGAAGGTCACCTTTATCCACAGAGCAAAGTGGATGCAATATGTTTTAGATCAGTGTTTCTCAGACTCTAAAGGGCCTGTGAATCACCTGGAGATCTTGTTAAGACAACGATTCTGACGTAGTACATTTGCGGGATTAGCCTAGATTCTGCTTTCCCAGGTGATACTGATGCTGCTGGTCCTTGACCATGCTTAGATAACAATTCTGACAAATCAGAAACTTAGATATTAACACAAATTGAAGGAAGTGGATTTGATTGGATTCTAAGTTTAATAGATTTTTTTCTACCCAAGTACTCTAAAGTATGATCTCCTCTAAATTTCTTGAGTCTTTTATTCTGGCTTTGTATTGACTTCCCAGCATGGTTGATCAATAGGTCAGTCAGTTCACTTTAGGAGCTGTATTTATTGAACTTACCTCATTTTGCTAAATATTGGTTCAAATTCTGAAAAAAGCTATCATCACTCTCATTTCATATTTCTAGAAAATTACCATTCACACATAGATTTTAAACAGGCTTATAAAGCAAGACAAGGGAATAAGAGAATCATTGCTAATTTTCCCACTATTCACAGAGAATTTTGTTAGCTTTTTAGATCATATTCTCAAGAATACTAGTCCAATATGCTAAAATTTTCTGTATTCTCACCTTACGTAATAGCCAACTTGCCATAGCAAAATATTATATCGTATGCAATTTTCCATAGTATTTTACTGCTTTGTTATAGTCCCTTATATACTGGAGGAAAGGGAAAAGTGTGGAGAATATCCATAATAGTAAACTTACTCTCCTGTACTTATATTCCATGTTCAGAGAGATTCTTAGATGCTAGCTTCTGGATCTTAAGTTAGTGTCACTGCCTCAGTTAGTAGACGGCCATTGTGAGCTGTTATTGGCTTCGTTGGAGGGAGGGTGGACTTGGGATTTGGCATTGCAGGGCCTCCAAGATGGAGTCCTCTGATTACTGATATTAGAGCCCAGTAGAAAGGTAGATTCAAAGAGAGTCTGTATTTTGGGCTTTGAGGAGGTGTTGGTTGGGAATAATAGTGTTTTCAACAAATGTTTAATCTGATGGTGTTCTGAAAACCTCTTTAAAGACATCAAAGATGTAAAAAAGGGGGGATGTCTTCTCTACAGATAGGATATTGTGGTGAAGAGATATAAACCACTTCTAAATACTGAATCATGGAAGTAGATGCAAATAAGTAGGGCTGTTCAGCTACTATTTTAGTGGAAAAATTGGGGGAGGGGTAAGGTGGGGTGGGAAAGGTCTACAAAAATAATGCAAGATACTTCCCTTGTTCAAATTTAGCCGGTGATAATCTGTGGGTTTACCTTCAGCTAAGGCCCTATAGACATTATCCCATTAAATATTGTCAATAACTCCCAGAGTCTGAGTGGAAAGAGGAAAAAATTATTGTCTGCACTCATATTGACCCTAGATAGGAAGGACTCCAAAGCCTGGGCTCTTTGTGCGACAACAAGAAGGAGGAGTGCTCAATATGTCTGTCTAGGCTACAAGGCCCCTGTCTGATGAAACATATTTTCAACTTTGAGCTGCAAGTACACCATCCTTCTCTTATATCGGGAAATGTGGTAGAATCACTTCTCTGGTTGTCAACAAAGGAAAGGCTGTTGTTTAAGAAGATGAGAAATTCCAGCTCTATCTCATGAACTGTTAGAATTGTTGGTTTATCATATAACTTAATTGCACCTCAGAAAGGAGAGAACAGTATGCTTGGAGTCTGGGATCCAGGGCAGGTCTGTCCAATGTGGTGAGGGGTGATAAAGTCTAGAAAGCTTCTCTAGTGGTGTAGTAGTGGTGTGGTACTTTGGAGCACACTTGAGGGCAGCTTGAATGAGCACAGACGCTGCAGCATGAGTGCACAGTGGGAGAATGGGGGACTGGGGTGATGTCTGACATGATGAAGGGATTCCGAGGAAATACTTGTCTATTTTATAATTTCCTTAAGCTGTGTCTAGGCGCCAAAATTCCTTTGGAAAATATATGCACAGTTATCATAATTTCATCTTCAACCTTTTATATCTTTGCTTTTCGAAATGTGAATAATTTCAACTTTAAGAAGCTTACCTGATCATAGTGCGCCATGTTCTGAACTGGGCTTCCCCAGTCAAAAGCTTGAAATTTTCCGGACTTAATAGCCTAGAGAAATTAAGAACACAAGCAAATAAAAACTCTTCTTGCTGTATAAAAATAAAATTCAAACATTTTCATGTAGATTCTTTTCAATTTAAACAGTGATTAAAAAACATTTTGCTCATTCCAAAAAAAGATTTATCATCCAAGACAAGGTACTTATGCAAGTTTAAATGCAGCTTTACTTGAAATAACTTTTCATGCATGCCAAGTCCTAAAAATAATTCATTTCTTTGCTACCCAAAGTGTCTGTTTTCATAAGATTTTCATTCGCATGGATTGACATTTATTTTCAGGTGGTAGCCACATGCCAGAAAAAATTCTCTGCTGGGACCATTGGACAGAGTAGTTTAAGAATGAGCATTAGGTAAAGTGCTAGGGGTTAAGGCCCACGAAATAAATTTTAACAGCATTTTGAGAAACTATACCTGGGTCCAGTGGAGCATGTTTTGAACTGAAGTTCCCGCTGGGTTGTGTGACAGATACACATCCAAGCGACTCTAGAAAGTAAACATGCATGCAGACACGCACACTTAGACATATATTCAGTTTGCAACAACAGCTAAGATTTAAGTTTTCTGATCTAGGTCACATGTTTAAGGGAAACATTTACTGGAAGGATACAAGCAACACAGTTGTATGTCACTTCAGAGCTTGCAGAGAGCAATTGCATGGGCTATTTTCTCTGATTTGTAGCCACTTAAGGAGGAGAGGTGACCATTGCCATTTTATCAAAATGGGAACTGGGGCTAAAATAAGTTTAGAGAAATGTCCAGTGTTACAGAGATAGTAACAAGGTGGAACCAGAGACTTTAACCTAGGTCTCTGAGCCTAAATTCTCAGCTTTTTACTCTTCTCTACCCAGTGCCAGAGGGCAGTGGATGAAATGTTGTATGTAATATCTTCACCAACTGTTTTGCTATCCTGCCATCAGGGCCCTAACCCACCTTGATCAGAGCCCAGACAACAAACTGAAACTCCCTTCTCACACTGTGTAGACATATTCATAATGGATCTTAATGCCACTGTATAGAGAGGGTCTTGGATAGAGTGATACAAATTGAACATCTTCATAGGGGCCCGAAGTGTCTCTCCACATAATTGTCATGCAGAACATGAAATATCTAATTTCCTTATGTTTGTCTTTTATTTTTCTTTTTCTTATAAGGATCTTATTGTTGCAATGCAGTAATCTACGCTGCCTTTTCTTGGTGCAAGAAGGATCGACTGCTCTGTCATACTCCACATACGGAATGACAAACATTCCCAGAACCATGGATATTAACTCCCTTGCAAGAGAGAAAAAGGAGGCTCTTATTTACCACTCAAAATAGAGACTAAGGAAAGTTTCCTTTGCTCACATATATTTCAATATCCACAGAGATGATCACTAGCATTGAGAAAGAGAACTGACTGTCCTTGATTTTCATGAGGTCGGGAGCCGTATCTGTCTTTTTCACCACTATGTTCTCAGTGACTACAACACTTAGTAGTGCCTCTACAAGTATTCTTTAGTGAGTAAACTGTAGGTAGAATTATACCATGTTATCAGTGGCCCTGATTTTCTTAGGAGTTCAAGGGTATATGACTAAACTGACAATTTTGAGCTAGGGTAGTTGTCAATGTATAACAGTATTAGTAGCAAAATATATGATAAACTGTGAGCCATATGTTTTGTAGTATGCTCTATATGCTTTACATATATTGGCTCATTTAATCTTCACAATAACCCATTTTGTAGATAAGGACACCAGCACAGAAGGATTTAAGTCAGTTCCAAGGATAGGATTTGAATTTAGGTTCTTAATCTGAATCCATACTCTTAAATATTTTATGATGTCACATTTTGTCATATATGTTTTAAAACTCCAACTCAGTGCAAGCTAAGTGAAATAGCAGAAAAGGGTCTTGACAAGATCTTACATAAAAAGTCGCTCTGAAATAAGTTTTATAAAATTTATGGGAATGACTATCTGCATTAAAAATATTTATCAGAACATTTATTCAGTGCTTACCTGTTTTTTTCCTACAGAGGAGCCTGCCAAAATATATGGTTCAATACCTCACCTCACAGAATTTAAATGTCACTCCAATTACTTAGGTGGTCAGAAGTCAATAGTGAGTTGTTATTTTTTTGTACATATTGTTTACTTTAGGGGGCAATTGGGGTAATGGAAGGGAACTGGAGGGGACACAACTGGGAGCAATGATTTGTGATTTCTTTGGGGCTTATCTGTGTATCATGGACATAATTCTGAAGCTACTCCTAGTTCTTATAAAGTACCATTTCTAAGTTATGATAGGGCAGGTAATCAAAAATTTTGCTCAAAGTACCCTGAATAGAAATTTCAATGCATACAAACCGTGTTCAAGTTCTTATTGTCAAATCCACAAATGATAAATAAGGCATTGCTGCAGATGAGGTTCAACGTCTCACGGGAGCACACTTTAGTAGCAAGAAATTCATCAAAAAAGTTGTGTGGGTAGAATATTTTGTTACCAAATATAATCTGAAAAATAAAAGCAAGTTTTATAAAAAGAGGTTTATGAAAGTCAAGTTGCAGAAAAGACTCATCAATTTGTCTAACCTGCTTGTACAGTTTTGATTAGGCTGATGAGATTTTCATATTTCTATATATTGTTTTAGGAATTTTAAATATGTTCTCTCATTTAATTCCCAAAATGAAGTTGTGGAATGGACAGGGCAGATGTCAATATTGGGTATTTGTTGTTGCATCAAGAACTGCACTGGCTGCTAAGAAGTTATAGTCTAGTTGGGATAATAAGAGTTATGGAATAAAATTATAAAGCAACATGGAAGAATAACATAATTAAGTGCCAAGATATGTGATTTCAGCAATAAATTGTAAAAGGATCAGAAGGGGAAATGGTCACTCCGAGCCATATGTTTAGCAAAGCTTTTAGAAAGACAATGGAGCTATATAGTTTAATAATTGAAAGGATTTGCCCCAACTCTTCTTGAGGAAAGTAGACATTTTGTTATCCCCATTTTATACATGAGAAAACATAAGGCTAATAAATAGTCAGGGTCTTAAGCTAACTAGAAATGGATTGTAGCTAGAAGCCTGATCCAAGCCCATGACTTGAGGTCTAATGCTTTTTTTTCTTTTTTTTAATCATTCTCTGCATTGTGTATCAGGAAATCTGAGTACAAGAAGGAAATAAACAGGTTCTGAATCACTGTAGAGAGTAAATATACTCAGGGTCATCACAAAATTTCACATTTTGAATAAAAATTTTCCAAATGTAGTTTGACTACAGATAATGTCTCTTAGATTTTAGACACATGTTAATTTAGAGTGAAAAGAAATTAATAATACAAAACCACAGAAGGAAATGGCATCACTACATTTTATAGCCTGAGGTTAAACTGTGTCCTAAAGGAAACTGTATGCAGGTGTATGTGTTGGTTTTGGTAGATGGGAGTGGTCAGTGATTAAGTGTTAGAAAAAGTAAAGATTATTAATTCCCTACAATGGATGCCTACTGTTCAAGGCACTTAATATTTATGGTTTGTTGAAATCTATGCTACGGCCATATTCAATTTAAAAAAGATGGAGCTCTTAGGAAAAGGCTTGGAACACTAAAAGTTTTTGATGAGTCATCTCAAAGTCCTTGTTCACTCAACCATTGCTTTTCTCATTCTCCTTTTCCCTTCACTTTCCTTACTTTCCTGTCCTTCCTATTCCCAGTTTTCTTGGCCCAGGTAGTTCAGGCTTCATATTTGACTATTTTTTGGGGTTTTTATTTCCCCTTCCTTGCTCCAGGGATGGAATCACAGCCTTGACATAGCTGTGTGAAGTGCTTGGTAAGTAAAACATCTACACAGGAGCAAAAACACTCCCAGGCATTACTAACCCACAGGAAGTAATCAAGAACAAAAAATTAAGTTGGGGATGTACAGGCTGTAATGGGTATTCAAACATGGTCAGTACTATTCAAGAAATAATATACATCTGTGCGTTTCCATTTTTGGATATAAACATGATTGCCCACCAGGTGTTTTTGTTATCTTTCCATCACTTTGAAACTCATGGAGAATTTGATATCTTAGATTCAGTGAAAGAGAACCACATACCTTGAAGAGGAATGGAGGAATAAGTGTAAGTTTGTTTATCAGGCTTTTCGTATACTTCACAGTGGCAACTGGAGCTAATGCATAAAAGGCTTTAATTCTTTTAGCCAGCTTGGGAATGGTAGAAAAAGCAATAAAACCTGAAACAGAACAACAAGGAACCAGTGAAGAAGGGGTGTGTGTGTATGTGTGTGTGCTTTTGCTCAAGAGAACCCAAGCTTATGCCCACTTCCTGGAGGCAGCCTGCATTTAAAGACTAATCGACAAGTGCGTAAATAGGCTCAGCCATGTAGTCCCACTTGAGAAGACTCTGAAGAGCCACCTCATACAGAGTTGGCTGAGATCTCCTTCATGTCTTTACATACTCTGCATTTTATTTTTTAATCTTTGTTATTTTCTCTGCCTCCTCCAAATAGAGTATAAGAAGTTGGAAGACAGAGATTTTGATCTATTTTATTTATTGCTGTATTCTTACGACATATTGTAGGTGCCCCATCAATGTGGTTGAATGAGTGGAATGAATTGTCCAGAGTCCATTTGGTATATGTTTCAGAACATGGGCTTGGGGATTAGAATGCCTGAGCTGGTATCTGAGCCACACTATTTGTCATAATTATGTTACCTCACACAAATTATTTACCCCCTGTTTTGTTTCCCCACATATACAACAGAAATAACAATTCTTCCTATATTGTTGGGTTGCAGTATGCATTACAGTATGTAATGAATGGAAAGCAATTATCATGATGACCAGCATGCCTGCATAACAACTGGAAAGGGATCTATACAAACTGAGCTACTTGCCTTGACTCCTTTTACCTACCAATGGTGGTACCCTGGGAATGGCCAACATAGTGTAGCTTCTCTTGTCCAGTTTTCTTTAAAATGAAGTCGATTGTAGATGGGAGGTCATATTTAGCCATTTCATCAAAGCTACAAGAAAAAAAATAACTGAATACCTTTCCTTGCTATAATTTCTAAAAGTCAAACATATTTATAGCTAAGGCTCCCTTTGAGAAATAAAAAACTAGATTCTCTAAGCTTTGTTGCATAAAGACCATTAGTGAGTGTCAGGTGCTCTTTGGGATGGCTTCTTATAAATAACTGACATCATTTCTGAAGCACAGCATTACAGTGGCAATTTAAGCCAAACAAGATAGTATCCGTAGCTGGAGACTTTCTATCCCTGAAACTGAAGTTCAGATTTAATAATCATTTGTATGCAGTGTTCTACTGCCATTTAATAGGAGCCATATCCTTCTCCATTTTATTCTTCACAAATCAGCCAGAACGTTTTTTTGAAAATGAACACAGGATTATGCCACTCCCCTGTCTAAACCTTCTCAGTGGTTTCTCCTTACATTTAGAATGAGCTCCAAGGGCTTCATTATCTGGGCTTTGTCAGCCTCTCTAGTCTCCTTTCATGTCACTCTCCCTCTTCCTCCCTGCACCGGGGACCCACAGGCTTCTTCTCAGTTCTGAACTCTCAGAGCACTTTTGCACCTTGGAATCATCACCCAAATTCTCTCCCGTTCTCCACGTCCATTAGTAATTTCCAGAAATAAGGCACTAGGGAGCCGGTGATAGAAAACCTTTGGTAATGTTTCTGTGGTGTGCAAATTATTCCTCCCCCTCCCCCACTTTGCTGTTATTGATGACTCAAGTTCCTGTCCTTAAACCCCTAACTGGGTTTAACATCCTCTTGAATCCGTATCGATATGCCTTTCAGAATCTTCTAAGGGCAGTGAATTTCTTTGCTTCAGGCATTTTGCTCATTCTGTTTGGAAAAGCATATTCCTGGAATCTCTAATTAATGGGTACTGAGATCATAGAAACTTTGGAGGAAACGTTCCCCTTGGAATGAGGGGTATGGAAGAATTCAAGAAGGGATTAGGATAAAAATGCCCTCCTTCTCTTCCTACTTGGAGTGTGATATGTTAAAAAGGGACTGGATTGGACTACCCATGCATGAATACCTGTGCTTTTTAAACTCAATGTTTATTGTTAATTGCCCATTTTTCATTGCCCCTTTTCTTTACCTGAAAGCCCAGAATTCAACTGAATCTGGTGAATAGTATATATTTCTCCTGGCCCAGGTATTTCCTCTGCTGTTCCCCAGCCACACATCATAACCAGCATCTGCCAGAAGGAAGCCCAGGCTATTGTTGGGCAAGTTGGAAATCCAGTTCGAGGACGATGCTAGCAAACCATGCTGCAAAAACACAACAGGTCTCTGGCCTAAAGAAGAAAATTGTTTAAAAGCTTTATAAATTCATTCCTTGTTCTAAGAAAAGCATGAAGATAGAAACAGATTTTCATATACCTAGTATTAAATACATTTGCTTGATTGAGTTGAATATTTTGAATATGTTATCTTATTGTGGTGATAATTTTTCAGATGACAAAATTTATGCAATGGTACAATTTAAATATGTGCAGTTTATTGTATTCCAATGATATCTCAAAACGCTATTGACAAAATTATGGCTAAGGGTATTCAGCATGATGTTAATTTAAGTGGTTAAGTTATGGGTGGTCTTGTTTAATTTTATTCTTTTTCTACTTCACAATTTTTGTACAATGAGAAAAAGAAAATTGCTAATATTACTAAAAACATTACTAAAAAAATGACCTTTATCTGTTGAGGAAACAAGCTTCTAATTGCCTCCCCATTCTGCCCTTTGTAACAGTAATGCAATCCTGGCTAATTCCTCCTGGTCCTCTAGAACTCAGTTGAGTTATTATTTCAGAGAGCAAGCTTTCCTTGACTTCCCCTAAGTGGGCTATATACATTTATCAGCACTTCCAGTTTGATATTCTGTGCACAGTTCTAACATTGCACTTATCACATATTATTAGAATCATCTGTTTATTTATCTCTCTCATTGACTTGATGCTGATCTCCTCGAATACTGGAGATACAGATTTGTTATTGTTGCATTCCCAGAATAAGCAAGACTCATTAAGTCCTTAGGAAGAAATGGAAGGAGGGGCAGGGGGAGGAAAAAAACAAGGAAGAGAAGAAGGGAGGAAAAGAGAGAGAAAGAGGGAGGGAAAAAGAGGAAAAGGGAAAGAGGAAAAGAGAAAGAGAGAAAAACGAAGGAAAGGTTGAAGGTTATACCTCTATTCTCTGAATTTTTCTTCCCGTAAGGAATTCTGTTGATCTCAAGGATATAACCATCTTCAGTCACAACTATATATTCTTCACTTGGGTATCCCCAATAGGAAATCATCTGACTCTGATGATTCAGAAAAAAACAAATCTTTAAGTTTTAGTTGACTTTTAAAATGCATCTCGTAAGCAGATATTGTTAATGATTTTTAATTGGTCATGTAAAAGCTTAAATTCTCCGTGATTCTAAATCATGGTAGTATTTCTTAGTTTTATGGATTTTTCCCTCTGGCAACTTACAATATTCATAGCTACTTCAGGGCTTTCCGGATTTAATTTTCCGAAGAAACCATGTGTAGTTCCAAGTGCAGAGATCAAACTTGCTGTTGTTAATAACAACCACATTTTGGTCCTGCCTGAAACAGAAGAATAACCCATGTCGTGGTTAACCTATCACACTTTTATAATACTCTTATTTTGTGCTTATTTTACCTTCATGCAAAGTAGAGAAATCTTAGGTTTGATTATATTTTGTTAGGCAATAAACTGGGGCAAGTGAATGTGAGCACAGTCATCTTAAGGTGTAACATGTTTTTGGTCTATTGATTCCTTTTGTTTAACAACATTTCCATTTGGTTTTCAAGTCATATTGAATGGAGCTTAACTGAAAAAAATCCCTTCTAATTGTCTAGCATAACATCACATTCTTATTATCCCTTATGTTTAAGGCTTTTGCCAACTGTCTTTGAGAGTCTAATGTGGGGGGTGCGTGGTACTTTGTGATCATTTGAATTTTTCTAGATTCAATCTCAATATAATGTGCATTTAAATCTATCATTATGTCTTTACTATTGTTTCTAATAGCTACTTCATAAATATTTATTGATTTGAGGTAATCATGTGGATGTAAAAGCTACCACCGTCTTAGGGACTGCCCAGTGGCATAGTGGTTAGGTTCACGTGCTCCACTTCTGGGGGCCGAATCCCATGTGCATACCTATGTACGACTGATCCAGCCATGGTGTAGCAGGCATCCCACATATAAATTAGGGAAGACAGGCACAGATGGTAGCTCAGGGCTAATCTTCCTCACACAAAAAAAAGAAAGAGCTTCCACCATCTTCTCAAAATGCTACCATAACTAGAGTATTGTGTGAATGTAATTTCAGGAAAACCATTGCTTTTTAAATTTTTTGCTGAGATGCTACCTAATTGAAATTGCTTAGGTAAGTCTCAGTAAATAGAAATTGAGAATGTATTGGGTGGTACACTACCTTTTTTACAAATATTTAACAAAAAAAGGAAAATTAATATCATGATTTGAAAAAGATTCTAGTGATTTTTTAATTCAACCCACTAATATTTTACAGGTAAGAAATAACAACCTACTTCTTAGATAACTTAAAGATAATTTCAAGAAGACTGAATTATAATTGCTCTATCAAAATTCTTAAGCTTTTTAATCTATTTTTAAAAAGCTGAAAAAATTTTAACCATAAAGTATCTGCACCTATTATGACAAAAGACTAATTTTCTTAGTATCTAATTAGCTTTTATAATTCAGTAAGAAAAAGACCAACAAATCCATATAAATTGGTATAGTACATGCAAAAGCTTTTCATAGAAAGAGACGTAGTTTAAAACCTTTAGACAAAAACATTTGCAAATATTCTCAATTACATTTATAATTGATGAAATGTAAATTAAAACTATAATGATCTAACAGATTCCACCTATCAAATAAAGATTGACATTTTATAGTGATGGCAAAGTTGAGTGAAACAGACACATAAATGCTGTTTGTAGGAACGTGAATTTTTGTGAGGTCTTTCAAGAAGAACATGGCAATATACATGAAAATTTCAAATACATATCCCTTCCATTCTATGTTTAGAAATTTAACCTCAAATATAATCACAAATGTATTGAAAAAGGAATGTACAAAGATTTTGATTACAGCATTGTTTATAACAGGAAAGATTGGGAATGACCTAAATGCCCATCAGCAGAGAACATAATTTTATAACTTATTGTGCAACCATACAGCAGAATGCCATGCAAATTGCTTTCAAGAAAAAACTGAGGTAGATCTGTATGTGCTTACATGAAAAGTTATCTCAGATGGATTGTAAAAGCAAGGCACAGAATACAGTGCCTTCAGTATCTACAGTATAGTATATATAGCACCATTTATGAAAATAAAAATGTATCATTTAAGTGTAAAATAAAACACCGAAAGTGTTAAGCTTTTTATGGTTGCAAAGCAACTGGTCTAATAGTTGGGCAACAGACATAAATTGTATTAGATTTATCTTAATATTTTTATAAGATAAAATCCATTTACCTTAAAAATGAATTTTTAACTAAAATCTGTCTTTACAATGCTATTTTAGGAACGAACACACTAATACATAAAGACCAATAAGCACTGTTCTAACATTCAAACCAGAAGGCTTTGATCAAATATTTCAGGAATCCATCATTTTATACCATCCATTGCCTCCATAAAGTAACTTACCATTGCAAAGTGAGGACGCTTAACCTAGGGTTTGGGTTATAGGACATCTAAACAACCCAGTCATACACATCAGCTCAAAGATGTTCAGAGGCAGAATAAGTGTCCTCAAAATGCCTGACGGCAAGTTGTAGGAGAAAGTAGTAGCTAACACTTACAGAGGGCTTGCTGTGTGCTGGGCACTGCATTCCATACGCCATGTGTGCAAGAAGTTACCTTCCCTAAGGTGGTCTCCTTTCTATAAAACAGGGTCAGTAATAGAGCTTGTCCCGAAGTTATTATGAGAATCCATTCAGATAGTGAAAGCAAAGTTCTTAACATGCTAGGCATCTAGTAAATGCTGGATAACTACGTTTACTATTACTGTCATCTCATTTAATTCTCATGATAACCCTGCAAAGTAGGTAGCACATATTCTCCATTTTACAGATGAGAAAGCCAAGGCTAAAAGAGGACTTTCCCAACAAGTATGTAGAAAGCAGCTAAGCCCATATTCAAGAGTAGGTAGCCTGTCTCCAAAGATTATGTTCTTCGTCACTGTAATTCTTCTTTAGGATGACCCTAGGCCAGCATCTATAATGAACTACTTGGCACATCCCCAGAGAGATTTACATAATTTGGTCCAAACTTGTCTTGAGGGATTTATAATTTGAAGAAGTACATTGGCAGCCTGTGAAGTTCAACAACAGTATTAATAACAGTTAATTTAACAGCAGTCGGTTTGGATGAAGCGAAATTATTCAATATAGGATATCAATACAGACAGGTCATATGATGTTAGAGGACTGGGCTCGTGCGTCTCAAAAGGGAGAATAAGAGAGATTAGATTTTCACTTTAGACACTCATTACAAAATGCTAAATTAATAAAGAAATTTGTCATCCAATAATTAAGAATTTCATGTATAGGTAAAAAATAAAAGACAAATAAATCAAATCCTAGAAGAATAAGCCCTAATTCAAATAGTCCCATTTATATAGATGAATACAGAATGAATATTTAGACCTTTAAAAAATGTAACAGAGAAAAAATGAATCTAATAACTCGAATATTACATTCACTCAGTAGAAGTTATACTCACAGTCTCCTCAGAAACAGTAAGGATTATGTTTCTCTAGGTGTTTAGTATTGTGGTTACTGGCACATTTGCTTCTTATATACAAAACCTTCAACAATGGCCAGAATTAGTCATCCACTGATTAAATTGCCGTAAAGTCTTTATATCTGGACAGCATCTAATTGTAAAAGGACAAACCTAAAAATCAAATACTGCATTCAATAATATCACGTTATTGAATTCACACCTTAAACTTTTAACAGCTACAAATATTGGCCAAAGGAGTTTTGATGATTAAAGATGATTTAGAAAACATTAAAAAAATGATTCTTGATAGCTTAAAGATATAAAAACTGTTGAACCAAAAGCATAATGCAAATGATTATGTAGTATGGCTCAGATAAAGAGGCTTAAGATGACAAAAGGCCTCTTCTTGATTTTTGAAAATACAGTGCATAAACTATTCTGACTGGATGGTTAGATAACCTCCTGAAAATGAATGTAATCAGCAAGGATTAGCATTTAGTCTTTGACCAGGGTCTCTAAGCCCGTAGATAATGTTCTAGCTAATATAGAAAACCCAGCCCTGCCCTTTAAAAACACATAGGTAGCGCCATTTCTTTATATACACATGAGTTGTGCAACTAAAAGTTATATTTTATTTTACTATGCATTTTATTATTTATTTTATTTATGCACTTTTAAAGGGCAGGGCTGGGTTTTCTATGATCTTTTACAACCACTGTAAGCATCTGTATCTCATGTGAAAGGAAAAAGACAGCCATGCTGTGACTTGTTAAAATAGTTGGTAACTTATTTTTTGCAATAATTTTTTTATTAGTACCTAAATAACTAATAGAAATGGTGAAGAAGTAATTGTTGAAAAGAACAAAATGGCAAGCTATAAATCAACAACTGTCCACCAAACATCACAACACAACTAAGTGAACTTGCACTGTTTGAATAAAGTAGGACAAAATTCAGGATATATCAAATAGCACGTGTATTTACACATTTTTGTGTTACTGATATCTCACCTTCGCTCAACTCTAGTTGATTTTTATTGACAGCAGAATTTTTGAAAGGGAAAGACGGTAACACATTCTTGTAAGGATCAATATGGAAGGAGAGGGTTTTACTAGCTATTCTAATACAATTTGAATTTACTTCACCAGCAGATAGGAAGCAGATTAACCATGTTTCTTCATGTCATCGTTTGTATGTGTTTAAACAGGAGAATGGAAGAGTGTCCCTTTGGCCTTTTACTGTGATGGAAGAGGATTTGGAGTCAGAGTCTGGACATATATAAATCCTAGTAGTCTTTGATAGAGGTCTATGATTCTTACTATGATAATGCAGCCAAAGAGCCAAACACGCTTTTGTTACCTTATAAGTACCTTAAATTCTGATTAGCTAGGGGTAATTTTGGTAGTCACATAAATTAATAAAGAGGACAGTTTCCAGTGGCCAACATATAGTAAGGTCCATGAAGAAATATGACGCTTTCTCTACTCATAGCAGTCTCCTTAACTTTCCTAACTCTTCTGTCCTTTCCCCTTGTTAACTCTCCTTCATCTTTAGGTCTCAGCTTAGCCATTACTTCCCTGAGGAACACCACCCTGACACTGTTCTTCATCTCTCCATATTGGGGCAGAGACTTTTTGTATGCATTATCATGGAACCCTATAGTTATAGGACTTGTTGATTGATAGGCTTTTTGTTAGGTCACTTCACTGGACACAACATACACAGACACACACACACACTCCTTAAGTAAATTCCTTAAATGCGGGGACTCCAATTTGTTCAACCACTATCCTATGCTCAGTGCCTGCCACTTGCTTGGAACAAAATA